TGTTAATTAACATACATGAACGTGAATAATGAAATACACTAATCAATTTATAATTAAAATTAATACTACTGAAATACATAAATGAAGATTAATATTAATTAAATGAATATAAATGTTAATTAATTGAAAATTAATAATAGAGAATTCATACATTAATAAAAGCACATATGTAAAATGAATATGTCAAATATACTGTACATTGATGATAACTAAATAGTTAAATAAATTAAATACATATTGTAAAACAAAAAGTAAGATATTATTGAAATAATTGAATTATAATATGATTAGAATCGTCTATAAAATTATTCTCATTTAACATGATATTTAATATATTGTTACTAAATATGAACACAAAACTAACCGTTGATTTCTTGATAGAATCATATCAAGGATCAATGTTTTCACTACTAGAAATTTGTGCTCCACCTTTACTCAATTAATTATGTTGATCAAATCACTAGTCATTCATAGAATTCACTTTTGACCAAACCATTAATGGATCGTTTAGTTAGTGTTGGCGGGAGGTTTTTCACCATCGGATTATATTTCCACAGTAATCCTTGATTTTTTTATATATTTTTCATTTCCTTTGATGAATTTTGTTGGAAATTTTGATTTAGCTTAATGATTTGAGTAATGATATTCATAAGCAGTACTGATAATCGATGGTTTGTGTGGCAATGAGATAACTGTGACTTCATTAAAAACGTGACAGTGACTTCATTATCCCATTATGATGAATTTTAATTCATTAAAAATGTGACAATGACCCCATTAGATATTGATCATAGTACTTTTGATGAATAGTATTGTTCTCGTAATTTTGTCGGCTTATACATCTTTATTATTGAAAGTACGAAGTTCGACCTAAACTACACATAGAAGGGGATGAATATGTGTAAATGCAGAATTAATAAATTATAATAATTAGCAACAAGTCACTAATTGATTATCTTTAAATGATCGTGCAATCAGTTCAATTAACTTATGTTTGAATACCGCAGAATATAAAAACAGTAAACAAAGCAATGAATAACGCACAGTATGATCAAGGAGAAACCCTAATTGGGTAAAAACTTCGAGCTTTTTTTACCAGTCAACAATCCACTATAAATGATTTATAACTTACAGTCTACCAATTAGACAACGGCACATACTATCTGATCTCTTGACTGCAATTCCAACCGCTCTCCTGGATTTTATGCTCCTACAACAACTCCCAACTACAGTTTTCAAAACTCTCATGGATTACGCTCCTGCAGCAACTCCCAACTTTGTGAAATCGTCTATCTCCTGTGGATTCACGAAGAACACCACGTTCTTCAACGACTGGAACTTTAGTCACATTTCCTTGATCTTCAGAAACTTTGACAGATATGAAGGAAGTAGCAATTTGGTATTTGGATTATGAAATTGATGTTTTTCTCACCGCCAAAAACAAATCACTATGTGAATAACGAATGTTGAAGAGTAATTGGTAAAGAGAATATGAAAAGCTAAGTGTTTGCTCAATGATCAACCTTCGAAAAACTATTCAATAGCATTTGATATTTATAGGTTAGGTTAAAGAATGAATGTGCCGGACAAAAAGTATTTAAAAAATGAATAAAAACATTCCTGGATGGCACTGTCACTTGAGTGAGGAATGAGCGACAGTCGAGTGATAGGTTGTAGCTCAAGCGAAGGCAATAGGCAGGCGATGCAGTTTCTGTTTCTGACACTTGAGCCAAACCTTGGCGATAAGCTAGCGATATTCCAGCCCCATTTTTCCCTCTTTTCCATTCTTGAACCCTAGACCTAATATAACACAATTTTCTACTATTTGCACATTATTCATTGACTTTTATAACATATCAATAAGTCTCTTTTGTTCACAGACTTGCCAATTACATAAATACCCAACAAGCTTCCCCTTTGGCATTCAGTAACAAAACTACAATCCAAAGTTAAGGTAATAGTAAAAAAATACAGATTCAAAAACCGACACAACAAAAAACTGTCTTGATTGAACTCTACTTTTCATATATCAAAACTTGTTTCCTGAAATAAACAACTCAAGTATCCAGTGTAAAATGTATGTGAAATAGTTAAGTGTAAACGCAATTCAAGCAGTTAAATCGAGTAGTTCACAGTGTAAAATTGATGTAAGCAGTTAATGCATCTTTTCAGTTTCATATTATAAGCTAGGGATGGCAAAAAAAAAGCTCGCCGCCTCCGGCGACTCGCCTCGAAAAAAGCCAGAGTCTGGCCCGACTCGAGCTCGATTCCACCGACCTGAGGCTCGGGTTGAGCCCCATTTTGGGGAGTCGGCTCGAGCCCGGCCCGTGTTTTAAGAAAAAAGTAAAAAAAATTAAAAAATTAATTTTAACTGCCTGGCAGCAGCAGTCATGATTTTTTTTTTTAAAAAAAAAAATAATAAAAAAATTGAGCCAGCTCGGCTCCTAAAGGCCCGAGCCAAAAGCTCGAGTCAAGCCTAAAATTTTTGGCCAAGCTAAAGCTCAGACTTGTTTTGCTCGAGCTCTTTGAGTTTCAACTTATGGCTCGACTCGAGTCGATTCGGCTCGTTGACATGACTATTATAAGCTAAATTAAGACATAATATCAATGCAACCCAGCAAACCAAAATAAAACCATCGATACTACAAAACATCAAAACTTAATTTAGCATAATAGAAATTTATCATTTAATCATATAATCAAAATTTTGGATACATCATTTCAAATAGTTAAAACCATATACAGCCTCAAAAACACTACTCCATCAAAAATATATACAACTAACTACTCTCCATTTTTGTTACAAAATGACAAGGGAATAACGTATAGCCAAAGAACATCACACAAAAATGCTTTGCACCCCCCATTTAGATTATAATGTTTTAGCATTAACACAAAATAACTCAAAAATATTGTTATGAACATGCACAAAGATAAGTAATGAACAGTAAACCTTCCCACATATTTAGTTCAAGTTATCATGGAGTAAATTGTATAAGCGATCCATATGTGTAAAGTATCACTAATCCTTTGAAATAAGACTCTAGACTTTAAATTTGTGAGAAAGGACACACTAAACATCACAGCCAATAAGTTTATTCCCCTACTTATGAAAGTCAAACCATTTAAAGAATAAGAGAACCTATAACAAAAAGCTCATAATGAATGGAAGTACTCTTTCTCCCCCTAAGTATGAGCAATATATTTTATTTCACATCGTGTAATAAACAAAGCTCATTATTATATTTTTCATCTTAAGTGCAGACTTTTCTTCATTAAGAGACTAAAATGACCTCTGTAGCGAGCTTTAGGCCGATTAACCCAAGTTAGTTGACCATAGACACCAAGTTTTGAGTAACCCTGTAAGCTTAATTGTTCGAGTCAAATAGGCTCAGAAGAAAAACATAAGATATTGAACTCTTTGTATTTTTTTTAATACCAGGGATAAGTGTGAATTTAGGTCTAATCCATATGGTCAATTCATGTTCGAAGTCACTTTACGAACAAGTAATTGCCATCCCAAATTTCACACATGCAGTAGAGTCCCACTAATAATATCATAGTGTGTGTAGTGTAGATGGTACATGAAGACTCCTATACTAAGAATTTCATGAATAACCTAAGCCAACAATGAAAATGATGTTACAGTTCATTGATTAGCCCCATGTCCGAGTACAACAAACAGATCCAAGTATATCATATGTTAAGCTGTAAAAGCAACATCCATATTTGATTTTTTTTTTAATTTTTCAAAAATTTTTGTATTGTTTTTGTTGTTTTTCAATTCAAAACAGAAAGTAAAAAACACAACAAAATGACAACACACATAAAAATAAAAATATAAGGCACACAATGATAAAGAACGAGCATACAAAAAAAAAAAAACAATCAATGAGGTACACAAACACCAATAGTCGTACGAAGAAATTCAAATCTCAGACCATCCAATGACTTTGCAAATAGGTCAGCTAATTCGTTTTCTGTAGAGACGTGCTCAAGGCTTACAACACGATTCTCTACAAGCTCTCGAATAAAATGATGACGTATATCAATATGTTTGGTTCGAGAGTGTTGAATACGATTTTTGAAAATATTAATGGCACTAGTGTTATCACAAAATACAATCATAGTCCCCTATTATCAGCCCCTTGAAGGTTGACATGCGGATGGCATGAGATGCTTTGCACTCATGCCGGGATTTTGCGGATACGTGTTTGATGGTGCACACTTCAGATTTTCGAAGCAAGGCATGGGCTGATCCAGCTTGCTGCTACTGGGCTTTAGTCCACAAATTCGGGTGTCCAAATGGGTCACATGTTTGACACATGTGCTGGGCAGTTTTCGGAGTCCATACTGGAGGAAAGTATGGGTAGTTGCTGGGAATAGTTGTGGGATACGGTTTCTAACATTTTCTAGCCAACTGAGTTGGTTTATCCCTTTGGCAGTTAAGGGTGTTAACTGCACACGAGTTTTTGCCTATAAATCGTCGGAAGGTCTAGCTGATGAGACACAAAAAACGTGTTGTGTTCCGTCAGCATTCCTTTGTGTCTTGTATTATTGTTGAGTGATAAAACAAGTGTGTTTATTCGTAATATTGTCTTCCTTTACTTTACTACTTGTATTATTGTTCAGTTCAATGGTGCTCCTAATGCCAAGGAGTTGAAGAATTTCCTATGGGATATGAAGCGGTACTTCAAAGCTGCTCGTATTCCAGAAGAGGAGCGGGTAAACATCACTTCGATGTATCTGTCGAGAGATGCAAAGCTGTGGTGGCGAACTCGGGTGAAGGATGACGAAACTACAAGGCCACTTTTTGTTATATGGGAAACGTTGCAGAAGGAATTGAAGGATCAGTTCCTGCCTTACAACACTGCCGGGTTGCAAGGGAATCTCTCAAAAAGCTAAGAAAGACGGGTAGTGTTCGGGAATACGTGAAGGAATTTTGTATTCTCATACTGGATATCCAGAATCTGTCCGAGGAGGATGAGCTTTTCAATTTCATGTCAGGATTACAAAGGTGGGCACAAGCAGAATTGCGGAGGCAAGGAGTGAAGGACCTTCTTTCGGCAATGGCAGCAGTGGATTGTCTTATTGATTACAAGATGGACAGTAACTCTTCTGTTCAGAGGAAAAACACCGAGAAAAAGGCTTGCACATCGAAAGGTTGGAAGAAAGAGGACGAGAAGAAGAAATTCGAGGGCCCCAAATCGAAAGATGGTGATCAGTGTCAGAAGTCAAAAAGTTTCAGTGGATGCTTCATTCGCAACGGTCTCGATCGTGCAAAGGATTGTCCAAAGAGGGAGAAACTAAATGCCTTAAGGTTGGAAGGTAGTGATGACAGCTCAGATGAGGCCCCTACACGAGTGAATCCACTACAGCTTGTGAATGCTATCACTACACTGCAGCGTGGCTTGATGTATGTTCAAGTTACTATTGATGGGACAGAAGTGTTGGGAATGATGGACACAGGTGCTACAAACAACTTTATAAGTTCCAGGATCGTGGAAAAGATGGGTTTAATCATGACTCAGGTGACTACGAAAATTAAGGCTGTGAATTCTGCAGCACAGCATGTGAAGGGATCTACTAAATCACCCTTCATGTGGGCGAATGGGAGGGAAGGTGCAATATGATGACCGTTCCCTTGGATGATTTTGATTTGATCCTTGGTATTGAATTCTTTCTCAAGGCAAAGGCATTTTTGGTACCGTATCTGTATGGGTTATACATTGTAGATGAAAGAAGTCCCTATTTTGTACCAGCTAGATACCTTGACAAGAACAAAGGGAAGCTGATTCAAGACTAGATGCAATTTGCAAAACAACTTAAGGCGGGACTGAAAAAATGGGAGATAACTTACGTTGTAGCTTTGATTGAGATCAAAAAAGATCTGGTTTGGAGGTACTTGATCAGGTGGCAAGTGTCTTAGAGGAGTTCGTCGATGTGATGCCCCCAGAACTTCCAAGAACTCTCCCACCCCGTCGTGCCATTGATTATAAAATTGAACTCGAACCTGGTGCAAGGGCTCCAGCACAAGCTCCATATCGAATGGCTCAGTCGAAATTGGCAGAGTTGAGGAGACAACTTGATGATTTACTTGATGCAAGATTCATTCAGCCTTCGAAAGCTCCCTAACGTGCTCAGTTCTATTTCAAAAGAAACATGATGGTTCCATAAGGATGTGCATGGATTATCGTGCACTGAATAAGGTGACGGTGAATAATAAGTACCCGTGCTTAATGTTGTTGATCTATTGATCGATTGGCGAAATCTTCAATCTTCACTAAGTTGGATTTGTGGTCAGGCTATTGGCAAGTAAGAATTACTGAAGGGGATGAATCAAAGACTACCTGTGTGACGAGGTATGGTTCATTCGAGTTTCTTGTTATGTCCTTCGATCTTACAAATGCACCTGCCACTTTTTGCAACTTGATGAATGATGTGTTGTATGAGTTCTTAGATGATTTTGTGGTAGTCTATTTGGATGACATCGTGATATACAGTAGATCGTTGGGTGATCATATTGTTCAATTAACTAAGGTGTTCTCACCGCTTAGAGAACACCAATTGTATGTCAAAAAGGAGAAATGAGAGTTCTGTTGGTCGGAAGTAATGTTTTTGGGACACTGGGTGGGTCAAGGAAGAATCAGAATGGATGGAAAGAAGGTGAATGCTATCATGGAGTGGCCAAGTCCATCCAAGGTTGCTGAACTATGTTCATTTCTTGGATTAGCAAACTATTATCGGCGATTCATTCAAAGCTATTTCAAGAAAGTGAATGCCATAAAGGACTTAATGAAGAAAGATCGGAAGTGGGAGTTGAAAATTGAAGGATGCAGAACAACGATATTCAACTTATGAGTAGGAGATGACTGTAGTTGTTTATTTTCTGGAGACTTGGTGACATTATTTGTTAGGAACAAAATCCACCGTTCTAACAGATAATGTAGCCAATACATATTTTTGGTTCCAAAAGAAATTGTCGGCAAAATAGGCGAGATGACAGAGTTTCTAGCTGAATTTTATTTTGCGTGGGTTCACAAGCTAGGCAAGCAGAATCAAGTTGCTGATCCACTCATTCGGAAGTCCGTGGAAGCTTATGTGTCGGCTTTGATGATAGTCGAATCAGATTTTCTTGACAAAATCAAACAGTGGGCTGAGAAAGATGTTGCCTATACCAAGCTATTGCAAGAAATTAAAGATGGCGTGGTGAGACGATGTTGGATTGAAGACGGTTTGATCTATGCCAAAATTAGCAGATTGTATGTGCTTTCAGGTGGGGGACTGAGGCAGATAGTGTTGAAGGAAACTCATGATCCGCTATGGGCAGGCCATCCGGGCATTGAAAGGATGCTGGCTTTGCTTTCAAAATCGTATGTGAAGTCTTGCATGCTGTGTCAGATGATAAAATAGAAAGGAAGAAAGAGATAAGTTTGCTCTAACCTTTGCCGGTTCCAGAACGGCCCTAGCAGTCGATTTCTATGGATTTCATTTCTGGTTTCCCGAAGGTTGATGGGTTCAAGTCCATTATGGTGGTGGTGGACAGGTTCTCGAAATATTCAATCTTTATTCCAGCTCCGCATGAGTGCACTATGGACGGTGCTGTTGGATTGTACTTAAAAAACGTGGTAAAGTACTTTGGAATACCCGAGGATATTGTGAGTAATCGGAATTCTCGGTTTACAGGTAAATTCTGGACCATGCTGTTCAACATGATGGAATCTGAATTAAAGTTTTCAACAGCAAATCATCCGCATACTAATGGTCGACGAAAAGGATAAATGCATTGTTGGAGGAATATCTCAGACATTATGTTACAGCCAGTCAGAAGAACTGGGTTGTCTTACTTGATACAGATCAGTTTTACTACAATCTGCACCAATCATCTGCTACGGGGATGTGTCTGGCCGAGTTAACCATGAGATATATACTCAAGACTTCTCTCGAGATTGTGAAAGAAGGGGGACGCAGTGTATGTCTAGCTGCTTTTTGATTTGCTTAAGACAAGCAGGAAATGAATGAGCAAGCAAATGACAGTTTTGCGAAGGTTGCCCGACGGATAAAGAAGTATGCTAATAAAAACAGAAGGGATGTGGAATTTCAGGTTGGGGACAAAACCTTATTAAAATTTACTTCCAAGATTCGGAAAAAGATTAGTAGTAAGACCGTGCATCGTGGGCTGGTTCAAAAGTATGATGGTCCCTTCGAAGTAATCAAGCGTATTGGGAATGTAGCACATCGACTGAAGCTACCTGATCGTTTGAAGGTTAATCGTACTTTCCATGTAAGTTATCAGAAATCCTTTAATGAAAGTTTGGTGGGAGAAGATCGGTTGCAAGCCAAGAGGGCTACTCCTATGGTTAGAAAACAATATGATAAGGAGGTGGCAAAGATCATGGGTCATTGAATAATGGGGACAAGCAAGAAAAATAGATGGACGAACTATCTTGTTCTGTGGAAAGGTGATACTGGAGTTGATGCAACCTATGAAAGGGACGTTGATCTGTGGTAATTCGAGGACAAGGTGAAAGAGTATCTTGATTTTCTTCCGACAGGGACGTCAGACTCTTCTAGTGGGAGAGGTTTGTTAGCCCCTTGAAGGTTGACATGCGGATGGCATGAGACGCATTGCACTCATGCCGGGATTTTGCGGATAAGTGTGTTGATGGTGCACACTTCGAATTTTCGGAGTAAGGAAAATGTGGGCTGCAATTTGACTGGTGTCAAAGTGTTGCAGACTAACAAGGCATGGACTGATCCAGCTTGCTGTTACTGGGCTTTAGTCCACAAATTCGGGTGTCCAAATGGGTCACATGTTTGACACATGTGCTGGGAAGTTTTCTAAGTCCATTCTTAAAGAAAGTATGGGCAGTTGCTGGGAATAGTTGTGGGATACAGTTTCTAGCATTTTCTAGCCAACTGGGTTGGTTTATCCCTTTGGCAATTAAGGGTGTTAACTTCACATGAGTTTTTGCCTATAAATTATGGGGAGGTCTGGCCGATGAGACACAGAAAAACGTGTTGTGTTCCTTCAGCATTCCTTTGTGTCTTGTATTATTGTTGAGGAATAAAACAAGTGGGTTTACTCGTAATATTGTTTTCCTTTACTTTACTTTGTGTGTGCATTGTGCAAATCGTTAGGCTAACTAAGTGGGATCTTAGTGCCATCATAGGCGAAAATTTGTTTAAGTATTTTACTTGGATTTCATCCATGTGATACCTGTTCAATACGATAATCACTCAACATCTGCTTCATCCAAAGCAGTTGTGTGCAACAACTTCTTGCGGCTATATATTCGGCCTTTGCTGTTGACAATGAGATATAATTTTGTTTCTTGATCATCTAAGCGACAAGATTAGCACCAACATAAAAGCATCCTCCAGAAGTATGTTTTCTGTCATCGGTCTTTCTAGCCCAATCAGCTTCGGAATAGCTAGCAAGATCAAGAGTAGAATCCCGAGAGTACATGATTCCATAATCAACGGTACCATTTACGTATCTAATGATACGCTGTACGATGCTCAGGTGAGATTCCATGGTATCAGCATGAAAATGTGCACAAACCCCTACACTAAAGGCTATGTCAGGTCTACTAACAGTGAGATAAAATAAACTACCTATCATACTTCTGTACAGTGTCTTATCAATACTCTTACCAATAGAATCATGACCTAACTTGACACTTATGTTCATAGGGGTCCTAGTGTGTTTCTTGCTGTCTAATCCAAAATACTTGACAAGATGTTTTGTATACTTCGACTGTGATATGAATATCCCATCATCAGTTTGTTTAACCTCGAGAGTAATTTAATTCTTCAATCATACACATATCAAATTCTTGTTTTATATATTCAGCAAAATCATGAGTAAGAAAATCAATAGGAAAACCAAAGATAATGTCATCGACGTAGATGTGAGCTATAGTGATGGTTTCTTTGATATGTCTAATGAATAAGGTTCTATCCATACCACCTCTTGAAAAATCATGTTCCATGAGATATCCAGTAAGTCTATCATACCAAGCTCTAGGAGCTTGTTTGAGACCATATAAAGCTTTATTCAACTTATAAACATAATGTGGAAATTTAGAATCAACAAAGCCTTTAGATTGTTCAACATAGGCTTCTTCCTGAAGTATTTCATTCAAGAAGGCATTCTTAACATCAATTTGATATAATTTAAATCCTAAAGTGCAGACAACATTCAGAATTCTAATGGATTCAAGTCTAGCTATCGGGGCAAATGTTTCATCAAGTCAACTCCTTCAATCTGAGTATAACATTGGGCAACTAACCTAGCCTTATTTCTAGTATGGTACCTTGATCATCAGTCTTAAATATCCACTTAGTACCTATAACATTACAATCATCAGGCCTAGGAACTAAATCCCATATGTTGGGCTCTTCATGCGTCGTATTTATCCAACATTCATCTCGAAGGGCATTTTCAACTTTCTTGGGCTCAATCTGAGACACATATCTAGCGTGTGTCGGATTGTTTAAAACCCTCTTACGAAGTCTCATCCATTCATCCAAATTCTCTATAATATTCACTTTAGGATGATTCGTCTTAACTCTGGACGAAGGTTCCTTAGGAAGTGTAGGTCTATCATCAGGTGAGGAATCCTTATTAGGTGTGTCTAAACCATCAGAAGTGTGCCGCGGATCAGGAACTGAAGTTTCTTTAGGTTCAATTATCATGACGGGATCAATACTCAATGGTTCCAGCTTTCCCCAATCTTTTCCAATCTCTCCCTCACTACAAGCATCATCCACCATTATATTGATGGACTCCATTACGACTCGTGTACGAGAATTGTATACACTATATGATCGACTATTTCTGGAGTATCCGAGGAAAACTCTCACATCATTTTTCGAATGAAACTTGCCTAAATTTTCTCTATCTCTCAAAATATAGCACTTGCTGCCAAACACACGAAAGTACTTTAAAGTAGGTCGTTTACCTTTCCAGGTCTCATATGGTGTCATATCAGTTTTAGATCTAAGATAAACCATGTTAACGATGTGACAAGCAGTGTCGATGGATTCTCCCCAGAAATGCATAGCTAGTCCATTACCGTGAAGCATGGCTCTAGCCATTTCTTGAAACACGTGATTTTTTCTCTCAACTACCTGATAAGTGTGTTTTTACATACTTATTTTACTGTCAAAACATGAGCAATTGTTGATTAAAATGTTCGAATATAGCTTAATTCTATGCAATTTATGTTTTGTAGGACAAAGTGATGAATGTAGCGAAATTGAGGTGAACTAAGCGAAAAAGGACCAAACTGGAAGAAAGTGAAAGTTCAGGGACTAAGGTGCAAATACTACAAACTTGTTTCCAACCTTGTGATGAAGATTCAAGAGTTTTAGAGATCAATTGGATGAA